TGACTTGAAGGGACCTGGGCATAGGACAACCAGAGTTGGAGGGCTTGCTTTTGCATTGTAGGTCTGAGCCAAGTTCTGTCAAGCCAGCGCTAAATGCCCCAGTGGATGTTTTCTATTCTTGGAATTCCCATGGCATTTTCTAACTGGAGCAGAGAGCATTTTCTGAATGTTCTTGGAGGTGTTAGAGGCAGCTGCATTACATTTATGACAGGGATTATCAGTTAATTAGTGGACCTTAGAAACAAACTTTTGTAGACTCAGAAAAATAATGGAAAAAAAGAAACTGTATTCAGATTTGTAAAATCCTGTATCTGAAATCCTGTAACAAAACAAGCCTCCTCCGATTTATTGAATTTTCTTAGGTCATCCCTGGTTTATTTAGCTACAGTGATAAAGCCTAGGTTCCATTCTAGTGAATATGAACATGATATTAATAGAACATTACGACTTTTTCCCCACTTTTATTTAGAACATTAATTTCATTATTATGCATCATGCACAGTCCTCTGAAGTTTTCATTTTGGAATTTGAAGGCAGAATCAGTTTTAACCTTGATAAGCCTAATCATTTTCCCGGGAACAATATTGCTGAGTTGCTTTTTGGATGAAGGGATGAGTGTGGGAAGGCTAGACAAAGTAGAGCCCATCACTTTTAAAGGTCTGGATGGTACTGTCCAGAAAATAACCTGTTTCCAGCTGAGACTGGGAGAGGAGATGAGGATTGATTTTCTAAAAGGCTAGGGCTCTAGGTAATATTTTTTGAAATCACAGAAGAAATTTAAATAGAGTCTACCAAACTGGTTGGATAAGGGAGAGAAATAAATGGATATTACCTTGGGACATATAGTCAGAATCCAGAGGAACCCATTTTTACTATTTAGATATTGGTAGTGGTAGGAAGTGGGTGGTCAAAATCCAGTCTATTTTGAAATATTGCCCTCGTTTTTGAGCCGTTTGGGTTCATATTCCAGCTTTCTCCCACATGGCCCCAGTTGTCTTGTGTTTGTTCCATTCTCTAGCTACAGATACTTGCAGCAAGTATCCAAGACGTTTCTCCTCTGTGGACTCTTTGTGTGACCCAGAACTGAATGTTCTTAGACATTCGGATAAATAAGAAATTGCTTGTCAAGAATGCATGAGACAATCCACACTGGGCTCCCTGCTCGGCGGAGAGTTTGTTTCTCCCTCTCCCTCTGCCTCTGCCTCTTCTCTGCTCGTGTTCTCTCTCTCTCAAATAAAAAAGTACAATTTAGAAAGAAAAAGAATGCATGAGACATTCTGTTTGAGCAGTTACTCCCCAGGATCATAGTTGAGAAAATCCATAGACATGGATGAAGTCAAGGGATGCTAGTCCTGAAATATTTCAAGAGAAAAACCTCTCACCTGCATTTGCTTGTTAAATTGAAGTTGGTAAGACAAAAATGGATTACAGGGGACAGCCTCCATTTTTGTACTTAAAGGTGACTTGGCTTTGGATCAGGAGCGGATTTTAACCATGTTTAATTTAAACACCATTTAAATCAGAACTTCAACGCCTGAAATCAAACTCTGCTGAAAACTTGGTTTCTTAGAGACTTCCAAAGTTCAGGGAGAAGGGCGTGTTATGGCTTTAATCTCAGTCCCCTCCCAGATCCTTCCGCTGAAGATCAAAATAAGCAGGTTTGGCGTTGGCTAGAGTGAGACCACAACGTTTGTCTTGTACTTCACGATATACTTTAAACTTACGAGGCTCTCCCTCGCTCTGGGTATTTTGGATTCTGTAGGAGTCTAGCTACTAGTGCATAGTTTACTTTTTAAAAAAAATTTTTAATATTTTTATGAATATATAATGTATTTTTAGCCCCAGGGGTACAGGTCTGTGAATCACCAGGTTTACACACTTCACAGCACTCACCATAGCACATACCCTCCCCAATGTCCATAACCCCACCCCACCTCTCCCAACTCCCCTCCCCCCAGCAACCCTCAGTTTGTTTTTTGAGATTAAGAGTCTCTGATGGTTTGTCTCCCTCCCGATCCCATCTTGTTTCATTTATTCTTTTCCTACCCCCCAAATCCCCCACATTGCATCTCCACTTCCTCATATCAGGGAGATCATATAATAGTTGTCTTTCTCCGATTGACTTTTTTCGCTCATAGTTTACTTTTGTGTTACACATAGAGAGCATTTTTCTTAAGTTCCTTTTCAGCACAACCAATTGCTAACATCATTTATTCGGTTAACATCATTTAATGAGTGTCTGTGGTATGCATAATGTTTTTTTAGGTCCTCAAGCAAACTCTGAGGTTGATGCCAGATATGCTTTTAGGAACAAACTGTGGAACTAGGTCAAGTTGATGACACTTTGAGCAGTGGTAGATTCAGCTAACTCAGGCTTCCCTTGTACGTGGTACTGTGTTCTCATTCTATAGTCGTTCGTTGAACTTTTAACCACATTCCTGTTAGAGATACTCCTGTTGAAGTTTAAAATAGTCTAAAATATTATATGGCTGGAATTGGCATGTGCTAATTATTTGGAAGAATATAATCTACAGTTTCTATAAACATATATTAATCTTTGAAAATGTATTTTCATCATTTTTTTTTTCCTGCAGGTATTTGAAAATGCAATAGATCCTGGGGCTGTAGCAGACATTTTAGAAAGTAGGTACTCTCAAAACAAAATAACTGTTGTGTACATGTAATTGTGTGCACAGATGTAAAATTCTACTATATTCTAAGTTGTGATATTTCCATGTTTGATATACATTTCCACATTTATATTCAGGAGAGTCTATGTCAGATTTAAACCATGTTTTTTATTTTATCACAAACTCTTTTCTAGATAGAGATGGGATTTATTATTTATTAATTTATTACAATTAAATGGTTTTTGTATCTTCACACAGTTGTGTAACCATCACCATAATTAATTTTAGAACATTTTTACCACCACAGAGTGAAGCCCTAAACACTAATCACTCCCAGCCCTAGGTAACTGCTAACCAGTCTTTCTGTCTCTGTAGATTTGCTTATTCTGGATATTTCATATAAATGGAATTATACAATACGTGGTCCTTTGTAACTGGCTTCTTTCACTTAGCATAATGTTTTCAGGATTCATCTTTGCTACAGCACGTGTTAGTTCTTCATTTGTTTTTGTGGCCAGATAGTGTTCCATTGTGTGGCTAAACTACATTTTATTTATTCATTCCTTGGTTGATGGAAAGTTGGGTTGTTTTTACGTTTGGGCTATGATGAATAATGTTGCTATGAATATCTGTGTACAAGTGTTTTTGTTGACAAATGCTCATTTCTTTTTTTAAAAGATTTTATTTATTAAATTTGCAATTTATTAAAATTACAATTTATTAGAATTACAAGCTATCTTAGCTGCTAAGTTTGACAGAGTTTGACAGAGAGATCACAAGTAGGCAGAGAGGCAGGCAGAGAGAGAGGGGGAAGCAGGCTTCCTGCTGAGCAGAGATCCGCGATCCCAGGACCCTGGGATCATGACCTGAGCCAAAAGCAGAGGCTTTAACCCACTGAGCCACCCAGGCGCCCTGACATATGCTCATTTCTTGGGTACATACCTAGGAATAGACATGTCGGATCATATGGTAATTCTTTTTAATCTCTGCAGAAAATTTACCAAAGCAGCTGCATCGTTTCACATTGTACCAGCAAGGTGTGTGAGGGCTCCATTTCTCCACATCCTGGCCAGCACTAGTTAGTCCCTATCCTTTTGATTGTTAGCCATCCTTGTGGGTATGAAGTGAAATCTCTTTGTGGTGTGGTGATGCTGAGCATTTTTCATGTGCTTATTGACTGTATATCTTATTTGGAGAAATATGTATTCAGAGCTTTTGCTTATATTTTAATTGTGTTATTTGGCTTTTTATTATTGAGTTGTATTATGTAATAGACTTGTAATATATGGAGTTCTATGTATGTTGTAGATATAAGTCCCGTATCAGTTGTACAATGGATAAGTATTTTCTTCCATTCTTTGGACTATCTTTTCACTTTCTTGACGGTGTTCTTGGAAACACAAAAATTTTAAATTTTGATGAGTTCTGTTTTATCTGTTTTCTTTTGTTATTTGCACTTTTAATATCATAGCTAAGAAAGCATTACCTAATTCAAGTTACAGAGATTTATGTCTATGTTTTCTTTTAAGAGTTTTATAATTTCAACTTTTACAATTAGGCCTATGACACATATTATGCTGATTTTTGTAAATACCATGAAGTAGGGGTCCAATTTCATTCTTTTGCATCTGGATATGCATTTGCCCTGGTGCCATATATTAATGAGAGTATTTTGATCAGGAAATGTGAGTCCCCCACCTTCGTTCTTTTTTCAAGGCAGTTTTTGCTATTTGGCGTTCCTTGGCTTTCCATGTGAATTTTAGGATCTGCAAGTTAGTTCTGCAGAGAAGCCAGCTAGGATGTTGATAGGCATTGCCCTGAGCCTGTGAATCAGCTTGGGGAATACTTCCATCTGAACAATATTAAGTCTTCCAGTCCATGAACGTGGGGTGTGGTGAGAATTAGTCGAATGTAAGGAATTTGGGGCCTGAGACAATGAAGTGCTTCACATTACCATTGGAGTGATGGTTGGCAAAGATACTCCTTCTCCCTACTTGGTAAACCTAAAATTACAAGCTATTTTAGCTGCTAAGTTTCTTGGCATTTAAAATTCTGTCCTCATACACTCATATATTTTTCATAAGTCCACAAAAAGGCAATTTTACTTTTCTTTCATGTATTTCCAGCTTCTTTGAGACATAATTGATGTATAACATTGTGTGAATTTAAGGTATGCAATATGTGGATTCCAAATACTTAAATTTTGTGAAATGATAACTACCACAGCAATAGCTAAGACTCAGCACATCACACAATGCCGTTTCTTTTTTATTGTGAGAACATTTAAGACCTAGTCTCTTAGCAACTTTCCAAATATATCATACAGTATTAGTAATTTTAAGTGTCTATAATTGTCACCAATATTATCTATTTTAAAGTGTTTTCACTTTTCATAAAGATAATAAATTATCTTTATGAAAAGTGAAAACCACTTTTATATACCCACTTTTATATATAATATATATTAATATATAATAATAAATATATTATATATTATATATTACATATAATATATAGATATATATTTATATAATATATATTATATATATCTTATATATATATAAAACCACTTTTATATATAACCACTTTTAATACCATTTATGTTTAAATTACTTTAAGATTTGAAATTTATTCTTGTCTTTATAGATTTTGTACATGGGCTCACTCTATAAATGCCTTTTGGACTCAGGAAGTATAAAAAATGTGATATTTTATGTCTCATTTATGCAGTCAGAGAGTATACTGTTTTTTGTTTTTTAGATTTTTATTTATTTATTTGACAGAGAGAGAGAGAGATCACAAGTAGGCAGAGAGGCAGGCAGAGAGAGAGGGGGAAGCAGACTCCCTACTGAGCAGAGAGCCTGATGTGGGGCGTGATCCCAGGACACTGGGATCATGACCTGAGCTGAAGGCAGAGGCTTAACCCAGTGAGCCACCCAGGTGCCCCGAGAGTATACTGTTTAAAGCAAGATTAACTTGTATAGGTTAATAGACAATAGTTGTATTGTGAATTTTTAAAAATGAGAAATTGATTATTATGTCACTGACTCATGAATATATTAAAATATGAATATATTAAATTCAGGGCATAAAATACCATTTACTCTCATTCCATGCCTTTGAATTACTGGGCCTTAAAATACCTAAATCATTGTTGGTACGGCACCTATTATTATTATTATTATTATTATTATTAATGTAGATGGGATGTTATGGCAGTCTTAAACTTAGCGATTAATGAAGAACTCCAGCAATTTTTCTAAGTGTTAAAATCTCATTTTTTCCCTTTTAGGCTTCCTAACCAGGTTTGAATTGATACAGCTAGTACCTCCAGGTAATGTGCCAGTAAATACATTTCTAAAGTTGCTTATTTTCTTTTGAAAGGACTTTGGCATGATGGAATGGATTGGTATTTACAAGTTGTGCTTTCTAGAACACTCCCTTTTTTCCCCCACTGGTCTGTTGAATTCTGTCCATTCCTGGAAAAATAACTTTATGGGTTTGGTGGCAGTAAGCGTGAGCAGGCATTTGACTTTCTGTTTTTTCATAACTTTATCTAATTATCATCAAATAATAAAATCTTGGCTCAGTCTCTTTCCAGTTGTTGCCTTTGGCTTTGTTCTAATTTATGGGGCACGTGTGGGTGTGTAATACCCAAAGCTGGCTTCTGTGTTAAATGCTAGAACAGGGTTGGCAAACTATAGGCCCCAGGCCAAATCCGGCCTGCAGTTTGTTTTGTATGAGTCGTGAGCTAAATGTGTTTTTAAAAATTGAGATTCATATACTCTATGTTTAGTTCATATACTACAAATTTCACTTTCGTCAAGTGTATAATTCAGTTGCTTTAGTATCTTCACAGAGTTGTACAACAGTCACCACTATCTTATTCCAGAAAGAAATGTGTAGTTCTTAGTAGTCCCTCTCCATTCCCTCTTCCCACAGCCCTGGCCGTGACTAATCTACTTTCTCTGTCGATTGGCCTGTTCTGGACATTTAATGTCAGTGAACTCAGACAATCTGTGGCCTTTTGTGTACCCCCTTTCACTTTGCATGTTCTCAAGGTGCAACCATGATGTGGCATGGATCATTACTTCATTCCTTTTTAGGGCTGCATGATGTGCCTTTATACGGATATATCAAAGTTTGTTTATGCTGTTGCTGGTTGGTGGACATACAGGTTGTTTCCACTGTTTGAATATTATGAATAACACTGCTCTCAACATGCATGTACAAGTGGTCGTGTGAGTACATGTTTTCAGTTCTCTTGGGTGTATACATAGGAGCAGATTTTTGTGTTATATGGTACCTCTATGTTTAGTTAAAAAAAATTATTTATTAGAGAGAGAGCGAGAGAGAGAGAGCACATATGTACATGCAAGTAGGGGGAGGGAGAGGGACAGGCAGACTCCATGCTGAGTTCCGAGCCTGACGCAAGGCTCGATCCCATGACCCTGAGATCGTGACCTGAGCCAAATCAAGAGTTGGATGCTGGGCACCTGGGTGGCTCAGTCTCTGGGTGTCTGCCTTCGGTTCCGGTCACGATCCCAGGGTCCTGGGATCAAGCCCCACATTGGGCTCCCTTCCCAGTGGGAGGCCTGCTTCTCCTTCTCCCACTCCCCCTGCTTGTGTTCCCTCTCTCACTGTCTGTCTCTCCCTGTCAGATAAATAAATAAAATCTTCGAAAAAAAAAAACAAAAGTTGGATGCTTCACTGACTGACCACCCTAGGCGCCCCTCTGTGTTTAACTTTTTAAGGAACTGCCAAACTGTCTTCAGTTCTTACATTTTTGAGTGGTTGGAAAAAACTTTTTAAGTATTTCATGATGTGAAAATTATATAAAATTCAGATTTTGTTGCCCATAAAGTTTTATGGGAACACAGCCATACTCATTTGTTTAAATATTGTCTGTGGCTGCTTTTTTTATTTTAATGCTGGAGTTGAGTAGTTATGGCCATATGGTCTGCAAAGCTTAAAATATTTACTGTCTGGCCCTTTACAGAAAAAATGCTTGCTAGAATCATGGGACTTTAGGAGGAAACTTTCCTGTTGTACCTTTGCTTTGTGTGTCTTTTTTTTTTTTTTTTAAGGATTTATTTATTTGAGAGAGAGAGAACACAAGCATGGAGGAGGGGCAGAGTGAGAGGAGAGGGAGAAGCAGACTCCCCTCAAGCAGGGGAGCCTGATGCAGAGGCTCGATCCCAGGACCCTGGGATCATGACCTGAGCCAAAGTCAGATGCTTAACCAACTGAGCCACCCAGGCATCCCTACCTGGTGATTTTAGTCTGTGTGTGTGTGTGTGTGTGTGTGTGTGTGTGTGTGTGTGTGTGTGAGAGAGAGAGAGAGAGAGAGAGAGAGAGAGAGAGGGTATATTTAAAACTCAAATTTTTTTTTTTTTTTTTTTTTTTTTAGATTTTTATTTATTTGTTTGACAGAGAGAGATTACAAGTAGGCAGAGAGGTAGGCAGAGAGAGAGGGAAGCAGGTTCCCCGCTGAGCAGAGAGCCCAATGTGGGACTTGATCCCAGGACCCCGAGATCATGACCTGAGCCGAAGGCAGCGGCTTAACCCAGGCGCCACCCAGGCGCCCTGAAACTCAACCATTTCTAATTCCTTTTTGATCTTTACTGTTAGAGGTTTTTGCCTTTTCTCCTCCCAAAGTGAAAATATCTTTACAGTTTTTACTTGCTGCAAAAAGCATTCCCAAACGATGAGAAAACCTTTATAATTTGGTGAGCCTGTTTCTTGCTGTATCTCTGTGGACAGAAGAACACCTAGATGAAGAATTTCTACATAGTAGTGTCACATACACTTTCTTCTCTTTTTGGCCTCCCCATGATAGAAGACTGTTGCACTGGCATTTCTAAAAGCATAGATGAACATCATCATTATTATTATTTTTTTAAAGATTTTATTTATTTATTTGACAGAGAGAGATCACAAGTAGGTAGACAGGCAGGCAGAGAGAGAGAGGAGGATGCAGGCTCCCTGCCAAGCAGAGAGGCCGATGCAGGACTCGATCCCAGGACCCTGAGATCATGACCTGAGCCGAAGGCAGAGGCTCAACCCACTTAGCCACCCAGGTGCCCCAAACATCATTATTTTTAATGACAATAAAGAATTTCATTAATTTACTTACATGTTATTGTAAGTCCATGAACAATAGAGACATAGTATTTGGGGTTTTGCTGTGGTTTCTCATTCTCAATAGCTATGGGTTTTTCCATTGTAGTATAATATCCTTTTTAAGATTATTTATTTATTTATTTGAAATCACAAGTAGGCAGAGAGGTAGGTGGGGGGGTGGTAAGCAGGTTCCCTGCTGAACAGAGAGCCCAATGTGGGGCTCCATCCCAGGACCCTGGGATCATGACCTTGAGCTGAAGGCAGAGGCTTTAACCCACTGAGCCACCCAGGTGCCCTTTCGTAGTATAATTATCCTTAAATTGATACTGTTAAACATTTAGGTTTTGTCTTTTACATATTTATAAAAAATCATTTTTTTTTCTCTTGGTATGTTTGTAAAGAATAGAACTACAGTAGTCTTCCCGTATCTGGGCTTCTGCTCCCATGGTTCCAGTTACCCATGGAAACAACCATGGTTGAGAAGCAGAGGACCCTCCTCCTGACATTGTCAGGAGGTCAGTAGTAGCTTAACAACTGAGTCACTCACCTCACCTCTTCTCATCACGTAGGCCTTTTATCAAATCACATCATCATGGGAAGGGTGATCTTGCACAGACCAAATTCACATGACTGTTATTATGGTATATTGTTACAATTTTTCTATTTTCTTAGTAGTTATAATTGTTAATCTCTTACTAAGCCTAACTTACGAATTAAACTTCATCATAGGTAGATATGCCTAGGGAAAAACGTAGTGTATATAGGACTGAGGACTTTTGCTGTTTCAGGCATCCACTGGGGGCCTTGGAACAGAATCCACTGTGGGTAAGGGGGGCCAACTGTACTAGACTGAACATCTGTAGCTTGTCACCTGGGAGTAAGCTGATCGCCAGCAAGTTTCCGTTATTACTGTATTCAGTAGTTTGTGGGATGCCCCTTGCCCGTAAGCCTAGCTGCTGCTGGATATTATGTGAATTTATTGTGTTTGCAAAGTAAATAATTTCTTCAAAATATATTTTACTAAATGTGCTGGCCCCTTCTTTTTAGATATGTGATTTAGATTTGTGACAACCTAAAATTTAAAATTTACTTCTTAAAAGTTTCCATTTTCGGGGCACCTGGGTGGCTCAGTGGGTTAAAGCCTCTGCCTTCAGCTCAGGTCATGATCCCAGGGTCCTGGGATCGAGCCCCGCGTCGGGCTTCTCTGCTCCGCAGGGAGCCTGCTTCCCCCTCTCTCTCTGCCTGCCTCTCTGCCTACTTGTGATCTCTGTCTGTCAAATAAATAAATAAAAAATCTTAAAAAAAAAAAAAGTTTCCATTTTCCCATGATTTGTTTCTTGCTTTTCTTCTGTGTAACATGACTTTCATTTCATCCTTTGATTCCTTGTGGAGTGATGTCTGGATGTTAACGTTGCACTTTGGTATACATTCCTGGGGTATTTTTATCGAATTTTTAATAAGTTATGCATAATGCATATGTATGTCTCCTGTTCTGTTGTATTCTTTTGATATTTTATTTTATTTTTTCAAGATTTATTTATTTGTTTATTTGACAGACAGAGATTTACAAGTAGGTGGAGAGGCAGGCGGAGAGGAGGAGGAAGCAGGTTCCCTGCTGAGCAGAGAGCCCGATGCGGGGCCCGATCCCAGGACCCTGAGATCATGACATGAGCCAAAGGCAGAGGCTTTAACCCACTGAGCCACCCAGGCCCTCCTTGATTATTTATTGTTTGAATCTTTTGTTTTCTTAAGAAAGTGTGGGAGAAGGAAAGTGAGTCTCACAGCTCCACGAGCTAAAGCAGACGTAGCCCTGGAGGCCGTTTGAGGATCGTAGTTTTGCCCTGTTGGGGCTGTCCCCAGAGCAAGACACAGTCCCTGAGTAGTCGTGGGGACCCAGAAGTCTGTAGCTCTTTCTTCTGCCTCTTGGCTCTTTGGCAGAAGCAGGCCCTGAAAACAGGAACCCCACCCTGTGTGGATCTAAGGATAGGCAGTCTCGTAGTGTCAGGGCTTTCTTAGGGAGAACAGAGGGAAGATCAGAGAGGCTTTCTACCTGCTTTTCAGAAACTCTTACTGAATATTTTTCAGCCTGAAAGTGATAGGCTAAAATCAGGGTATTCAATTTTTTCCATTTTTTTTTCTTTTTTGACCTAATTTTATATTCAAGCATCTATCAATGCAAACTGGCAAGTTATATTTCAGTGTTGATGAAGT